TGACTTCGGTCTTCTTTCTTTGTTATCCTACGTACATTTGTATTCGTTATTTATTTCATCTTTCTATTTGTACCTTTTGCCTTGCCATTGGAAATAATAAAAAAAAGGTTTGTTTACATGATTACATAAAGAAATACTGAATACTTTATATTTCGAAATTTAAAAGCAAAAATATTGCCATGTCAAAACTTTTGAAATTAATCTCTACTCATTATAATTTAATTATTTTAGTAATAGACAAAAATTTTATAACATTAAGGTTTTTTTACATGTTCACATTAAGTTAAACTGAAAATTTTATATTTCGAAATTTAAAAGCAAAAATACTGCCATGTTAAAATTTTTGAAATTAATCACTACACATTAAAATTTAATTATCTTAGTAATAGTCAAAAATTTCATAACATTAAGGTTTATTTATATGATTGCATTAAGTAAAACTGAATACCTAATATTTCGAAATTTAAAAGCAAAAATATTGTTATGTAAAAAAAATTGAAATTAATCACCTCACATTATAATTTAATTATTTTAGTAATAGTCAAAAATTTTATTACATGAAGGTTTATTTATAAAATTACATTAAGTAAAACTACAAGTTTTATTTTTCGAAATTTAAAAGCAATGCACATCTTATGAATATTTCTCGAAAAATAGCAGTTAAAGAAAAAGTTTGACTTAATAAAAAAATAAAATTATTCAGCAGGTTTATTTTCGATTTTTAGTTTTTTTTTTTAAAAAAAAGGGTGAACACATTAAAAATGCTGTAATAAAAACATTCGAAAAAAAAATTCTCAAAAGGACAAATATTTAAATTTATCGCAAACAAAACTTTGAATAAATAAAATGTTAAAGTTATATTTGAAAACTCATATATTTTTAAAAACTACAGTAAAACTTTCAGAACATAATGTAATTTTGCTCAGCCCCTATTAGATACAAACGAATTCAGTAAAAAATGGGACTCGCCTTCTGTATCAGTTTAAGCTCACTTCAGATAACCCCCCCCCCTCCAAGAAAAAAAATAAATACAGCGGATCGATTTAAAAGTGAAAAGAATTATTTTTCTATCCACAGACACAGGAAAATATGATCATTTTGTTGCGAAGTGACATGAAAGCAGTATTTTTCTTTCTTTTGTAGAAAGCGAAAGCTCAAGAAAATGGTAAAATTTCAGAAAAGAAATCTTTTGATTAAAACTCTTTGAAATGCTCATGGGCGGAATTCAATGCAAGAGACAGTTTTTTTCCGCTCTAAGCACGTATAGAATAAGTTTATAAAAAGCGCACTAAAGTATTTTTGACTTTTTAGGGATTTAACTTTAGTTGAATAAACTTTAATTAACTGGATTTTATTCAGTTTGAAATTCAATTTCAAAAGAAAAATTGTATGCGTAATTATGCGAAAGCTGTTTTGCTGAAAGTCGAAATACTTAAAATATTTTTCAGGGTTTTGCATTTTAATAGTAACCATTGTTTTAATGAATACTTAAAGGAAGTCTGATTTGTTCCTAAGCTCGCTTTGTTAAAATGTTTTCTGGGAAAAAATTCTTAGTTCGATGTTGAAAACTATGAAGAATTGTTTAAATAAATGGTTTTTATTTGTGAAAGGAAAAATAAATAATTCTCTTTAAGTGGAAAATGTATTGAAAAGCAAAGGATTAAATAGGAATATAATTAAATCATTTTAAGGTGTTAAGGTGTTCAATTGCAGGCCAAGTTATGGAAAAAATGTGCAGGCAACATTGCTGCGTTTTCTGTAAAATCTATTTTACAGTAAACTTTATTTAGCGTAAAATTCATTTCACCATAAAATTTATTTTACCATAAAATCCATTTCACCATAAAATTTATTTTACCATAAAATCCAATTTACTGTAACATTTTTATTTACTGTAACCTTAAAAGTAAAACTAATCAGCAAAAATAAAACTAAAATTAATGTTTTTTTCTGAACTTTGTGAATTTAAATTCTTTAGTGTTCCTGGCAAAGTTAGATTACACGGAGAAATAAAATTCTGGTAAAATTACCATACTGCATAGTAAGGACATTTCTGGTAAAAAAATAATAATTCTGGAAAAATAACAAAAATATACGGTTTAAAACTATTCATTTTGGCGATTTTTCTGCTCACAGTGTAAAGGAGTATCAAAAATTCTGGCTTAATAAATTATTGTTCTTCTTAATATACAATTAGGAAAAAGTACAAAACTGATTTAACAGAATAAATAGTTTCTATGTCATGCTCTAAAGAATCTTGATTAAATTACCAAGTTTTATCGCATTTATCAAATTTTATCACATATTATAAAACCATATTTTATTGTTAATTTTACCAAAATCATTAAAGGGCATCGGTGAAAATTACCGAGCTTCTGAGTGTTCTCATAGAGCTTGAAGGACGAGTTCTGGCAGTTTTACCTTTTTTTTTAAAAAATTAAAAAAATAGACTATATTAAGGGCCTGGCAAAATATAAGGCTTAAGTTTAAAGAATATTTTTTCAACCTGATTGTAAAACTCTACATGAAAATTTCAACAGTATCTGCATAAAAATAACATGTTGATTCAAAATATCTTTGTTATCTTTTTGAAAGCTTGTTTTACAGAGACATTAAAAAATGAGATTAAAGAAAAGAATTTAATAAAAATTCCATTGTTCTCTTTTCTTCCTTTATTTACAATGTCAAGAATATAATTGTAATTCTTACTTTATTTTGCGAATCATCAAAAGTTCTGTGTTGTAATGTAATCCTAAATTAATGAATGTTTTCTTATAACAGAACAGAAGGTTATTAAAGCCATTTCCTTTGTTACAACAAATGTTTCTTCTATTAGACGAATATTTTGTCAGGTATTCTTGCTTTTATGTGTCTAGTTTGTCAAATAGATTGCTTCCAAAAGAATAGCTTTTGGGTAGTTGGCGCATTGGTGTTTGTTTAAAAGATTTGGAATAAAGCCAGATTGCTGGGTTTGTAATTCTAATTGTTTGTTTCTGACAAATAAAATTTCGCGAAGTTGCCAATAGCACACATTAAACCACAAAGGTTAAATGTAGAATTAAACGATGTTACTGAACTTCATTTGATAGAAGTTTTCCGACTTATCTGGCTTCCGTTTCGCCCAATCAGTGACAATTGAAGAAGTTTAATAATATTTTAGTGAGAAAGGATTTAATACAATTAGTATACCACATTTATTTGTCTTCAAAAAACTACAGAGTGTTCCGTAATATATAATTTTACAATTTTTATCGAAGAATAAGTTGAAAAAAGAATGCATATAAGAGCTGAAAATAAAAAGAAACAGTAGCGCTATTGAAATCTGTCCAGTTAAACTCCGTCCACTTTTGTAGCCCGATGATCTACGTGTAAAGTCATACACTTTGCGGCAGAACAGTATAACGAGGACCGATATCGCCCACCCTCGGTCCATACACAGGCTGATCAAAGAAGCCACCTACCTGCTTATTGACGGTAGCCAGTGATGTGTTTTGCTAGGAACCATGTCTGTACAATCAGTTCACTGCCGGACCAGCCAAATAGTATTTCAAATTCCCAATCCCACCATCTTCTGTAAATATTCATTAAATTTCGATAGCATTTTTCGCTTAAATTTTAATTTGGAGTTCGAATTTAATTTAATTAATAAAATTTTAATTTAACTCTTATTTATTCTTAAAACTTTTAACAATACGTACAATGTTAAAAATTAAAAAAATTTCTGATGCACACGCACAACGGGATTTATATTTATATAGTGTAAGTTTTTAGTGTGATCTCGGGTACAGTTTCAGAAAAAATTGAAATAATAAGGTATATACGTATAACATGGAACACCAAATTTATATCATTATTATTTGCAACTATTAAAATTGATAAATAACTTTTTCCTTAAAATAATTAATGCTTTTATCAAAAACTGTAGAAAAAAAAAAGATTTTTACTTTTCAATTGAATTTATTTCATCAATTTATAAAATAAATTACCAAAATTTAAAATAAGTTATAGAAACAACTTTTTAACTATGTTATTGTAGAATAGATTATTTAAGTTTGGTGCTGAAATTTTTCACTAAGAAAAAAGTATGGACAAACTACCACTATATGGTAAAATTTACCGTATTTTTGGCTCCATGGGAACACCAAAAAGCACGGTAATTTTTACTGAAGCTCTTTAGAAATGGTTTTGGTAAAATTAACGTTAAGCTATTATTTTATAATATGTGTTAAAACGTGCTAATATGTGGTAAAATTTGGTAATTTTATTTTGATACCTTTGAGTCTAGCTTAAAAATTGGACATTCGGTTAGATTTAATTTTCAGTTTTGCCTTCTTTCTAAATGTGGGATAACAAGAATTATAATTTTGAAAACCGGAATTTCAGGTGAATCGTTACCAAATGAATGAACACCTTTACCGTATGAATGGTTTAAATACAGCAAATTTTGATTTTATAACCAGTATTTTTTCTTTTTTTTTACTAGAAATGTCTTTACCTTAGAGTTCAGTAATTTTTCTAATACATTCCGTGAAAAAAACGCAAAAAAGTACTTAAGTCCTTAAAGTCTTGACTAAGACCTATTGGGCTATTTAAATTTTATTTTTGCTGACTCCTATATTTTGTGGGTCAATACAAATTTGTTTGCTAATAATTGCTTGTGTTTGTAATATGTAAGATTTTCCCTAAACATGTTGAGGGTTTGAAAATCTTGGCTCTTACAAATCTTAATCTTAGTTCAAAATTTCTTCAAATAGTTTTAATCTTTTTGCTGTTTGCATGGAGGTTTAAACTACCTCTCTCAGCAATAACTACTAACATATTTATATTTATAGTTTTCATTTTGATGAGTTATTCTTTACTTAATTTAATCAATTGATTTTATAGTAGGAGACATTATACGAAATAACAGTTATAAATATCTGTAAGTATATAACATAAAGGAAACACTTGAGCATTAAAAATTTGAATATAATATTGCTGATTAAATTATTGTTTATTACCTGTAAAGTATGGGCTGAGTCCCTCAAACTGCATTAAGCAGGTTTTCTTAGCTGAATTTTCCTAAAATTATAAAAATATTTTTTTCAAAATAAAGTATTGCGCGTGCAATTTTTTTCTAAAGAATAGAAATAATTGAAAAATAATTCAATTTAAACCATATGCTTTAAAAAAATAATGTACGTGAACGCTTAGGCAATTTTAAATATAAATGTCTGGTATATAAGTTGAGAGTAATAATAATATAACAATTGGTAATTACAGTTAAATTGTAAATTGATAAGTGTGAAATATGTAATTATTTAAGTTCACTTATAAGAAAAAAATTATAGAAACTAGGTAAAGTGTAGCAAAATTATTCTGATTTATCTCATTTTACTAAAAATAATATAAAAACTTTGTTTTTCTCCTCTTATTTTCAAAAAAAGCGATAACTTATAAAGATATAACTTAAAATTATGAATTTATAAATATACTCATATATTAAAGTTATTTATTAATTGAACTGAAATAACTGAAACTTTTAATAGTACAGGGAGAGAAGCATTCGGGTTAAATTACCGAATTCTAAGGCGATAACATTTCCGAAAAAAAAACATAATTTTTTTTATTGAAAACCAAAATTTTATTTATTTAAATCATTCATTTGGTAATTTTTCCGTTCATATGGTAGTGGTTTACCGAAAAATCAAGTTTTCAAAATTATAGTTCTTATCCTCACACATTTAGTAAAAAAATACAGCACTGAAAAATAAATTATACAAAATAATTCATGATAAAAGTAGTAAGGTTACTATATCTTAACACTAAAATATTACCATGTCTGTACTCTAAGGTATGATAAAATTACTATATTTCACCAAATTTACCAAATTTTATCACACATTATAAGTCATTATTTTATAGTTCATTTTACCAAAATTATAACCAAAGCTCTATGAGAAAAATTGCTGAGCCCTTTGGTGTTCCCATAGAACCAGAAACACGGTAAACTTTACCATGTTCTGGTAGTTTTGACCATACTTCTTTTTCTCAGTGAATGTACATACGTATTAGATAAAGTTACCTAGAAGTTATCAAATAACTTAAAATTATAAACTAACTCATGAAATAAAGTAACTTATAAATTATAAATACTTATAAATATTAAATAATGTATAATTAGGGAAAATATTTAAAGAAATATTTTTCTGTAGATAAACATAATCCGAAAAAAATTTTTACTTCTATAAATACCTGATGCTTTTTATCGCATNTATATATATATATATATATATATATATATATATATATATATATATATATATATATATATATATATATATATATATATATATATATATATATATATATATATATATATATATATATATATATATATATATATATATATATATATATATATATATATATATATATATATATATATATATATATATATATATATATATATATATATATATATATATATATATATATATATATATATATATATATATATATATATATATATATATATATATATATATATATATATATATATATATATATATATATATATATATATATATATATATATATATATATATATATATATATATATATATATATATATATATATATATATATATATATATATATATATATATATATATATATATATATATATATATATATATATATATATATATATATATATATATATATATATATATATATATATATATATATATATATATATATATATATATATATATATATATATATATATATATATATATATATATATATATATATATATATATATATATATATATATATATATATATATATATATATATATATATATATATATATATATATATATATATATATATATATATATATATATATATATATATATATATATATATATATATATATATATATATATATATATATATATATATATATATATATATATATATATATATATATATATATATATATATATATATATATATATATATATATATATATATATATATATATATATATATATATATATATATATATATATATATATATATATATATATATATATATATATATATATATATATATATATATATATATATATATATATATATATATATATATATATATATATATATATATATATATATATATATATATATATATATATATATATATATATATATATATATATATATATATATATATATATATATATATATATATATATATATATATATATATATATATATATATATATATATATATATATATATATATATATATATATATATATATATATATATATATATATATATATATATATATATATATATATATATATATATATATATATATATATATATATATATATATATATATATATATATATATATATATATATATATATATATATATATATATATATATATATATATATATATATATATATATATATATATATATATATATATATATAATGTAATGAGAATTATCAATTTAAATATTGTAGAAAAACTGGAGAACTTACAAAGAGAGGAAAGTGGAATTTTTATATTTTGAGTGGCATAGACTGATCATGGGTTAAAATCCGTCGGGGTAATTGTGGGAGGTTTTGTGGTTTTCTCTCTCATGCAATGCAAATGCAGTTTAGTTCCATCAAAAAAGTCCTTTACGAAGGCAAGTTTGTGACAGTATTTAAACCTAGAGTTTACTTGTTTTCTCGGTTGGGTTCAAAATTGCAAGACTACAAAGTTGAATATTGATATTCATAAACTCAGAATTCGGTCGACTGTTCAAAGCCGGTTGAAAAACAAAACAAAGTTAGCCTCCTACAATATAGCTTCATAATATTTATCAGAAATTTATTTAAATTTTAAGTTTATAAAAGAAGAGTTTATTTATTTATTAAAAGCCTAGTAAGTTAAAGCCAAGTACATTAATCAATACCGGATAAGAGATAGTAAACAAATAATGGCGAAAAGAAATATAGAAAAGCTAAGATCCTAATGATTAAGGGAAAATTAAATTGAGTAAAATAAAGTTCAAAAACAAATATAAATAAAATGATTTTTTGTGTGATATTAATCAAAATATTACAAATTTTTCTAAAAAAACTTTTTTTCGAAATAAAGAAAACCCCCCGAGAAGTAAAGAAATAGTCACTAAAATTTTTATGCTATAATGAAGTATAACCATATAATCATTCACAAGAGGAAAACAAAAACATTGTAAACGAAATGTTAGAAAAAATGTAAAAAAATATAAGCAATATTCGTCTAAAACTTAACCATACTCCCTTTGAAACAGCAAATGTATGCTTACAAAGAGAAACTCAGAAACACTCATATATAGTTTAATACATTAACTATATAAAATAATTCCTATTATTCAACAAATATATTCTAAAGCCGCGATTTTATGATAAGAAATCAGTTCTGGAACAAAATTACACCAAACTGAAACTGAAATAGCCAGTACATAATTACCATGAAAAGTGGAAATAGTCAAACCCACATCTTTATTAGTAATAGAAAAATTCTTTAACTTCAAAGGGTGTTTTCTTCAACAGTCTTATCTGAATAAAACAGTCCCTCTATGATAACAGCCAGGGTTCATTGACTAGTAAGTAATCATGCGAAGTCATTTCCGGAAATTGCTTTGCATGAGTTTATTATCAAAAGGATCAAATTTATAGATTTTTTTTAAGTCACACCGTGCTTAAAGAGAAAGAAAAATGATGCATAGCTGAGCTTTAACAAAATGCAGGAAAAAGTCACGCCAAAGATTATCACTGAATGATAAAAGGAAATGTATGTATAGAACAGATGAAGTATCCCTTAAGACATTGAGCAATGATCAGTTTTTAAACAAAAAAAAAATAAACTGATGTATACATTTGTTTATTTAGGATTATATAGAATTTTTCGATGATCCTTCCATAGGTAATAATAGTGAGAAGAAAAATCAATACTATTTTTTCGTCACTTTTGAAGCAAATTAAGTAGGCATTGAAAATGGGTTGAACTTAGCAGAATGATGGAAGTGCTGAATGCATATTTTTTTTCTTTTCTTTCAAAAAAGAATGAAGTTTATATACCTAAAAATAACTGAAATGCCAGTACTTTGAATTATATTATTGCGTAAATTTGTTGCAAACATAATAACATTTTAAATTGAATCATATTTCCGTTCAGAATGAACGTTACTATTGAACAAATTTGTTGCACCCATAATAAGATTTAGATAGAACCGTGTTTAAGCTCAGATTGAACCATAGTATTGCGCAAATATGTTTCACTCATAATTAGATTTGAATATGAACAATGCTTCAGCTTAGACTGATCCATACTACTGTGCAAATTCGTTGCACCCATAATATGAAATTAAATTGAACTATATTTCCGTCCAGGTTGAACCACATTATCACGTTATAAAGTTTATGAAAAAATTAATTTACACGATAACATTATTCAACTAGAAATTTTATCAAGGTTCTGAATAATTGGAAATTTTCATGCAGCCTTTTTCAAAGTTTCTGATTAACTAAGTTTAGGCAGCAACGAAAAACAAAAACAGATAATATCTTGCTCTTGACTTCAATTAGAAGTAACATAAAATAATTTCAAAATAAAGCGAAAAACATTTTTAAATGAAACTGGAAATCATGGGGAGAGAACAGGGGATAAAAATGTCTTCAGTTTACAAATGATGATATTCTTCTTCTTTAACAGCACTGCAGCCTAGTGAAGATAAAGGCTTTCTTAGTCTGCCTCTTCCAGGCAGTTCGACCCCTGTAGCTAAATTTCATCATCTATTCACTCCCAATACTCTTATGTCCTTCTCCACACAGCCCAATCACCTTGTTAATGGTCTCCCTCTCTTCCTTGAACCCTGAATCTTTGAAAATGTTAATTTTTTAGCTGGATCAGAATCTTCACGACGAAAAGCAAGTCCCAGTCATCTGATCCTGTATGACTTAATAACTCTTAAAATGTTCGTTGTCTATATTTATTATGCATTTCATGGTTATATACACTTCTCGGAGT